AAATCTGATTTTTTGAGATATCAGGAATTGGCTAATAATAATTAGATAATCAATATACATGTTTTTCATTATTAAACTAATCATTTCTGTGGATTACCTCAGAGCAACTATAAACCAAATTTCAATGAAGTGGGATTACTATGCAAATTAAGCAATTAGTATGCATAGATTTCAACTCCAAACAAACTAGGTCTGTGTATCCAGGGCACAAGTGTACCAAGTCAAACTGATAAAAATTAGCAAATTATCATAATATAATTAATATGGATGGATTTAAACCAAAAAACTAATCAAATTTGCACATTAGCCCAGAGCATATATCAGTGTTACAGGCAGACTCGTACACTACGTTAACTGCAATGTGTGCTTCGCGCATACAAATCAAAACATGAATCCTATTTTAAATCACACACGCCAAAATCAAGCATAAAGCACTTTGCAATTAATATATAATCAGTTTGCTACAAAATTCAGTAAATTAGGTGTTTTAAAATATACACAACTTTCATACAAACCTTTTCATCTATATTCTCTTCTACAAGTGGTGCCACTGGATGTGAAAATGCCCTTTTTATATGATTCCAAATTTTCTCTCTATAACAAAAGTAGAATTGAAATGCACACATACATACAGATATGCAAGTAACAAATACATAAATACAAACAAAATCCTGGGAAATGGGTATGGTTAGGAATTAACAAATTAATGAACAAAAAAGAGTCAGACAGGTTATCTGCAACTTTGTGTTTTAGTTATCACTACCCTAACCTTTAGACTTTTTGTTATACAGTTCTCCTGCATTCAAAAAATTGAATGTACCGTAGCTATAATTGAATGAGTTGAGTGCTATATGCGCACACATTTAAAATGCATGGGGGGAATGTTGAGGTCTTATGAAAATTTAAAGGGCATTCCAGTTAAGGTAGTAAAGCAATACAACTATCTGGGTTTATTATTTTCATCAAAAATTATCCTGGACGCTGGAAAAGGAAAAACTAGCAGCCAAGGGGTAAAGAACGTTATATCAAATACAGGTTGTTACTAAGAAACTTGGTGGTCTTCCTATAAGTGAAGCTTTTAAGTTATTCAATGCTTCAGTTGTCCCAGCAATTTGTAATGTGGCTGAAATATGGGGTTTTGAGTATTCCATAATTGTGGAGAGGGTTTACTCTAGTGTAAATACTGAAGTGCTTTTAGGCAAATGTGGTAGATTACCCATTTTCTGTACTTACATGAAACGTTTCATTTCATACTGGTTAAAACTTATAAAAATGGATATGCACCGGTATCCTAGGGCCTGTTATAAAATGGTCAAAAGGTTGGACTCAGCAGGGAGGGTTATGTGGGCAACAAAGATCAGAAAGTTATTGTATCGATATGGTTTTGGAAATGTATGGATTGAACAACAAGTTGGAGACAGCACAGTTTTCTTAGTTTCATTTCACAAAAGGGTATGTAATTGTTATCATCAATAATGAACGGCAGCGATAGGTCAAATGGTTAGACTGCGTTGATTTCAAATCTTTGTTACCCAGAATTGTGTTGATCATGTAATATGACCTTGAAGTTTAAATTTGCTCTGGCTAGACTCTGGTATTCAAGTTATAAATTGGCAGTTGAGACAGGATGGCATAGTAAGCAAATAGTTTCTCCTCAGTTGAGAATTCGTGTTTATTGTCAAAGTATAAAAAGATCAGTGGTTGAGAATGAATTGCATTTTATTCTATTTTGCCCATTGTATGAGCATTGTAGAGCTGACTGGATTACTCGCCGTTTCAGAGTCTAGCCATCTAACGAAAAATATGCTGCTCTATTAAAATCACTAAACCCAGAAACACAATATAAACTTTCAGTGTATGTACACAATTTTTTCAAAATCCGTCACAACTTTCTCTCAATTTTGAACTTACAGTGATGTATTTGTTTAATTTTGTATCATAATGATTGATGTGATGGGTGGAGGGCCTGATATTTGAGTAAACTACTATTATTAAAAGGGGATGGAGTAAACTATATCATGCGATTAACTCTGCTTCACTCTTTGGAGCGGAGAGATTTGTTGCAGGGTTAAATATTGTCCAGATATCCACTTCAATAGAAATTGAACATTAAAAATATAAAAACAAATGTATATGTCAAACCAGTAAAAGAGCATCTTGCATGAAAAAGCAACATTGAGGTTCACTTGCCAAATAATTTTTTCAGTTGAGATTGGCTGCTGTTCAGAGTACAAAAGACATAAAATTAAAAATTTGC